CACATGGAAGGGTCAAACTGAAATACATTCTGAACATGAGGAATTTTACATATTATTAATTTATATAATAAACATGATTAATATCTATATATATATATATATATATATTAGACTAATATATTATATATAGAATATAAATAAAAATTTATCCAAGTTTTATATATTGGTAGCGGATTGATGGGTCTTAATGAGGGTCTATTCCTTGAGAGAGTGATTTAATTAGATGGCTTATTTTGATTAATGCTAGTTAAATTGTAAATATGCTACACTTATATATTAAAAACAACCGAAAGAGCCCTAACACAATCATCATAAAGAAGGTAACCACATTTTATCAAAACACCAAGGCCTACTTTTACCTACTGCTGATTAGTGGTGCTGACTCGGTCAATGTCAGCTTGTTTACCTAAACACTGACCTAACTAATGATGCTAACCCAGCACCTACCTCGGTAAGCACTTGCTACAGTAAACTCGGGAAACAACTATTTTGGGGGGGAGGGGGGGTTAACCCGCACTGCACTTTTACCTCGTTAACGCTTACCTAATTTCCGTTGGTAAACGACCCCAAAACCAAAGTCCCAGTATATTTCACATAGAGATAACGTATGGGAGCAGGATGTACGCACACTCTATCGAAAGACTATAGCAAGTAATGTAAATCAATCAGTCATGTTTCTTCACCTGTCGCCTATCACCTTCACAACGGTCTAAGTAATGTAAATCAATCATCATGTGATTAGATGTCGCTTGAAATTTAATGCAACTATCATGACCGGTTCGTCTTTGGTAGATCCGAAGTCAGGGCTAGGTTTTGTGGTTTGGTATCAGGTGCACAGGTGACAGTAATACCAAATTGAAAAGGGTAAAATGCTTTGAAAGGTTTAAGAGTGTAGATTGAAATCTGATATGAAAATACCAAAAAACAGCATATATTACACAAAACTACATGGTATATAACCATTATGGGGAATGAAATGGTCAAAAATCATAAGTCATTAAGGATGTGGACTAGTTTTTTTACCAAAAATTACCAGGCAATATAACTATCCTTACCGGTGGTTGGTTGTGGTTGGACGTTGGAACCGGGCTTGATCCTAACCGGGCTCCAGCTGGATAAAGAGGTTTTTTCTAGGTCATAGCCTTCTGTTCAGGTTTCAATCAGGTACTAGAAATTGACCATCTGCACCTGCAACTAAAGGAAGACAAGCATTTCATCCGTTGCATTTGTGCTGGATGGTTAATTAGAACAATCATGAACTCGTTTTCTTGATCTATGACCATGAACGCTCGGTTTTCTGCAAATTTCGGAACCCTCTTTGAGCCCGTCAGAAATAAAGTGTAAGGTTACATTTCTTTCAAGAACAATGTCTTAAGTAAATAATATTGGCTTTGTTGAATGGTATTTTAAATATTTTACAATATGTCAGCAAATTTTCAAGACAAACGTTACATTTGTAACAGAATAAGAGAACATTTCTTTCAAGAACGTCTTCAGTTATCTGAAACTTCAATGATATGAGATAATCAAACAAAAATACGTTCCCTTACTTCAAGAAAACACGGCATCATATAAACGAACAACTCATAGTTAACCTTACGCAACTTCGCTTACTCAAGTAATTCTAGATATCTTTACTTCAAATTATTCTTGGTGACTTACCAAGGTGCATTAACCGACACCCAACAAGTGTTTCACCTTTTGGACAACTTTAACAAAGAGTATTATGTGAACCAAGATGACAAATAGCAACTTCAGTAATGGTTAATATAGTCAAATGGGTAAATTGAATTGTAATCTTATACAAATATGCAGAAGTTGCAATTGCTACAACAAGAAATGTCTACTTCTACAAGTATTAGGTAAAGGATTATGAATATTCACACAAGTACATGAGGAAATCGTAAAGATTACTTTGTAGGCAGCAAGAAGTTTATGCGACTCTAAAATTGCCCACATATTCTATATGTAATGTAGAAGCAAAAGGGATCTATAAACAAAGATGTAAGTGGTAAAAATTCACAACAAAGATTCAATAAGAGTGAGAAATTACTGTCTCGAGTTGCAGGTCTTGCAATCGATTCATTCCAGCAGCAAGATCGATTGCTTTCAATAATTCATTAGCTTTGTTCTTCCCTTTTGGGCTTCCATTCTCTGCAACATCAGAAATGCCATTACAGACAATAGAAGCCATCTCTTTAACATATTCCCCAACATCTGTCTTCCCACACTGCACCATATTCAGCAAACCAGAAACCGCATTCTCTTTCGTCCTAGCACTTGACCCTGTTGATAAATCCAGCAAATCCACCAAAACTCCAACCCCTGAAACTTTCCTAAACGCATCTCCAGCCTCCTCGCACCCTGCGATTTGTGCAATCACCGCCGTAGCATCTTCTACAACCCCTACCCTCCCGTCTTTCACCACCAATGAAAACAACGCAGGCACCGCCCCTAGTTCGATCACAGTTGCACGATTCAGCGGATATAAAGAAATCCCAAACAGCGCTTTGAGAGCGTCTTTGATTGATCTCGGATGCGAAATGGGGTTTCTGATGATATCGATAAGCGCGTACAGTATGTCACGCTTTGAGCCAATAATAGGTCGATAGTTATCAACAGTCAGGAGACTAAAGATCGTGGCGGCGGCAGACTGGGCGGTGAAGGGGGAAGCAGGGTTCCGGAGCGCGTGGGAAAGCGCGTCAAGTAGACCGCGCGTGGACATCAAAGGTTCGCGTGAAGAGATCGAAATATTCAGAAGCGTAGCAGTCGCGTTCTCCTGTGCAATCGGTGACGGTGAATACAGTATCTCGGAGAGGTATGGAATTGCACCTGCTTCAGCAATTAGGGTTCGACTCTCAGGATCGTTCTTCGAGATTAAACGCAGCTCGCAAAGCGATTCCGTTCGTGTCTGCTCCGACACCGAACTGAGTTTCCCGACCAGCGCCTTCGCCGTCCGTACTTTCACCTCCATTTCTTCACAATCTTCTTCTTCTTCTCCTTCTGTACCTGAAAATCTCTGAACAACTATACACTTACCACTTTCAAATCAAAGATGCGTTTGTATATAGAATCAATAATCGGAATCCCTGTGTAGGAGAATTTGGGGGGGATGGAGGTTGCGTGGTTGAATATGAAGAAAAGGGAGGGTTAGTGGGTCAAAAGGCATAGTTGCAGTTTGTCAAACCAAGCCACCTAACGTCTTTATCTTAGAACGGGAAATGGTCACGTTCGCATTCAAGAAGAACGCAAACCAATTTTGTTACAACCCAAATATAGTAAAACGAAATTTCAATTGTTTTAGAAAATAATTATGTTTTATTTGATGATATATTGGTAAAATATAAGTTTATTTCATTTTCTTACCTGAAATGGGTTGGGAACACGTTTATTTCAGTCTGTTCCACATAAAAATCATATTAAATATGGAAAGATAATTCATATTTTGTTATGTCATGTATTGTCCAATCGTATTTGGTACCTAGCGAAGACAGAACTAGCTAGAATAAAATAGAACGAGACAAAATATAATGTTTGGTGAGACAGAACTAAACTAGTAAAACAACCAATTTACCCTAATGAGTTGTTTATATTTTAATTAATTAATTTAATAAAATGAATATTTTTATAACAAACTATGTCAATCAAATTATAGAAAATGAGCAAAAATAAGTTTTTAAGGTTAGTGATATGAAGGTTTAAAATACAATAAATAAAATTAAAAAGAGTTTTATAAAGAAATTAGATTTTATTTAAAAAAAAATTAATAAAATATAAGTTTACTCTATTTAATCCATACTTTTTCTACATAAAAATAATATCAAAGGTTAAAATTATTGATGCATACCACAGTCTGCAATCGACGGTGAGAAAGTAGAAGGGTAATTTTTTACATACATATATGTCATATATACAAGAATAGGGTGTGAGATGAAAATGAGTTAAATCCTTATACTTTAGTTGACTTAAAAATTACGGTCAGTTTTCTAAAATAAATTATTATATTATAATCTAATCTAATTTATCTTCAAAGAAAAATGACGTAATTATTCCAAATCTATACTATATGTACTATATTATAAATTATTTGACAAAAAACTCTTAAAAATTATTTTTTATGCACGAAATATTGTTTATTGATACATATTACTTAAAATTTAAGATTACAAGTAA